ACGCCTGGTGGGCGGCATTCGAATCGCCTGCAAGGAACATGGCGTGTGCTCAGGAACTGGGGTGCTTGGGGTGAAACCGGGTGTGTTTTAAAAAATAATCATAATCATAATCATAATATTAATAATAATAATAAACAACACAGCTCTGGTTATCTCCCACTTGGACTAATGCAATGCGCTCTCCGTGGGGCTACCTTTGAAGGTGACCTGGAAACTACAACTAATCCAGAATGCGGCAGCCAGACTGGGGACTGGGAGCGGCCGCCGAGACCATATAACCCCGGTCCTGAAAGACCTACATTGGCTCCCAGGACGTTTCCGAGCACAATTCAAAGTGTTGGTGCTGACCTTGAAAGCCCTAAACGGCCTGAGGGCCAGTATATCTGAAGGAGCGTCTCCACCCTCATCGTTCTGCCCGGACACTGAGGTCCAGCACCGAGGGCCTTCTGGTGTTTCCCTCATTGCAAGACATGAGGTTACAGGAAACCAGGCAGAAGGCCTTCTCGGTGGTGGCGCCCGCCCTGTGGAACGCCCTCCCACCAGATGTCAAAGAGAACAACAACTACCAGACTTTTAGAAGACATTTGAAGGCAGCCCTGTTTAGGGAAGCTTTTAATGTTTGATGTATTACAGTATTTTAATATTTTTTGGAAGCTGCCCAGAGTGGCTGGGAAAGCCCAGCCAGATGGGCGGGGTAATAATAATAATAATAATAATAATAATAATAATAATAATAATAAACGGCGTCGAACTGGACAAGCTGGAGGGGGTGAGGAAGCTTAAGGGCCCAATGTGGCCCTCGAGACTTCTCTAGCTGCCCCTCGGGTCTCCTCCCCAGGACACAAACACAATCCATTCCTCAGGCCTCTTCTAGGACGGCATCCACTGCGACAACTTGCCAAGACGGAAACCCGACTTTCCTGGAAACGCTACCGAATTGAGGCCTGATCTGGGCTAGGTCAGTCGATGGAGCGTACTGAGGCTCTGGGGTCGTGGGTTCGAATTCCGGTTGAGCAGAAGATTCTTGCCTTCCACCTCTGCAATTCCCCAAACTTCCCCAAGGAGGGGTGCGTCTGGTGCCCTGGCGAAATGCGGAAATTTTGGGAGAAGGGTTCTTGCATCTGCCTAGCCTGTGGAAGGTTCGATCACTGATGCTATCTCCAGGTGAGTCTCACCTGTCTCACCTGTCCTCCCAATGAATGAGCCAGCTCAGTTGGTAGAGCAACGAGGCTCTTAATCTCATACCCTCCAACATTTCTGTGATGAAAATAGGCATGTCCTATTCAGTTGTTGTTGTTGTCGTTGTCTATCCCACTCTCAGCAGCTTCCAACATATATAAAAACATAATAAAACATTAAACATTAACACAAAAAACTTCCCTATAGAGGGCTGACTTGGGAGGTCTTTAAATGTTTTGTTGTTACTTATCTCCTTGACTCAGGGGCCGGATAACTCCATCCCCTCCAACGTTTCTCCGATGAAAATAGAGACATCCCTGCCGACATTTCTCTGATGAAAATAGGGACGTCCTCTTCCATCCCCTCCAACGTTTCTCCCATGAAAATAGGGACATTCTATTCCATCCCCTCCGGCGTTTCTCCCGTGAAAATAGGGACGTCCTATTCCATCCCCTCCAATGTTTCTCCCCTGAAAATAGGGACGTCCTCTTCCATCCCCTCCAATGTTTCTCCCGTGAAAATAGGGACGTCCTCTTCCATCCCCTCCAATGTTTCTCCCGTGAAAATAGGGACGTCCTATTTCATCCCCTCCAATGTTTCTCCCGTGAAAATAGGGACGTCCTCTTCCATCCCCTCCAATGTTTCTCCCGTGAAAATAGGGACGTCCTCTTCCATCCCCTCCAATGTTTCTCCCGTGAAAATAGGGACGTCCTATTTCATCCCCTCCAATGTTTCTCCCGTGAAAATAGGGACGTCCTATTTCATCCCCTCCAATGTTTCTCCCGTGAAAATAGGGACGTCCTCTTCCATCCCCTCCAGCGTTTCTCCCGTGAAAATAGGGACGTCCTCTTCCATCCCCTCCAATGTTTCTCCCGTGAAAATAGGGACGTCCTCTTCCATCCCCTCCAATGTTTCTCCCGTGAAAATAGGGACGTCCTCTTCCATCCCCTCCAATGTTTCTCCCGTGAAAATAGGGACGTCCTATTTCATCCCCTCCAATGTTTCTCCCGTGAAAATAGGGACGTCCTCTTCCATCCCCTCCAACGTTTCTCCCCTGAAAATAGGGACATTCTATTCCATCCCCTCCAGCGTTTCTCCCGTGAAAATAGGGACGTCCTCTTCCATCCCCTCCAATGTTTCTCCCATGAAAATAGGGACGTCCTCTTCCATCCCCTCCAACGTTTCTCCCATGAAAATAGGGACGTCCTATTTCATCCCCTCCAATGTTTCTCCCCTGAAAATAGGGACATTCTATTCCATCCCCTCCAACGCTTCTCCCATGAAAATAGGGACGTCCTATTCCATCCCCTCCAACGTTTCTCCCGTGAAAATAGGGACATTCTATTCCATCCCCTCCAACGCTTCTCCCATGAAAATAGGGACGTCCTCTTCCATCCCCTCCAATGTTTCTCCCATGAAAATAGGGACGTCCTATTCCATCCCCTCCAACGTTTCTCCCATGAAAATAGGGACGTCCTATTTCATCCCCTCCAATGTTTCTCCCCTGAAAATAGGGACATTCTATTCCATCCCCTCCAACGCTTCTCCCATGAAAATAGGGACGTCCTATTCCATCCCCTCCAACGTTTCTCCTGTGAAAATAGGGACGTCCTATTCCATCCCCTCCAACGTTTCTCCCATGAAAATAGGGACGTCCTATTCCATCCCCTCCAACGCTTCTCCCATGAAAATAGGGACGTCCTTTTCCAGCCCATCCACCGTTTCTCCTGTGAAAATAGGGACGTCCTATTCCATCCCCTCCAACGTTTCTCCCATGAAAATAGGGACGTCCTATTCCATCCCCTCCAACGCTTCTCCCATGAAAATAGGGACGTCCTATTCCATCCCCTCCAACGTTTCTCCCGTGAAAATAGGGACGTCCTATTCCATCCCCTCCAACGTTTCTCCCGTGAAAATAGGGACGTCCTATTTCATCCCCTCCAATGTTTCTCCCCTGAAAATAGGGACATTCTATTCCATCCCCTCCAACGCTTCTCCCATGAAAATAGGGACGTCCTATTCCATCCCCTCCAACGTTTCTCCCGTGAAAATAGGGACATTCTATTCCATCTCCTCCAGCGTTTCTCCCGTGAAGATAGGGACGCCCTATTGCATCCCCTCCAACATTTTGCCGAGGAAAATAGGGGCATCCTAAGGAAAAGCAGGACATTCCGGGATGAAATCAGAAACCGGGACGGCTTCTGTAAATCCGGGACTGTCCCTGGAAAACAGGGACACTTGAAAGGTTTGTAATCTCATGGTTGTGGGTTCGATCCCCAAGGTTGGGCGAAGATTCCTGCCTTTTGTCATAAGAGAAACAGTGTCATTCTAATTATCCACTTGCGCATCTACAATTCTATGATTTCAACCTCCTGCCAGTCTCATCGGTCAAGGAACAAGAAAGCCACGCAGATTGCTTGCAAGGGCTTGCAGGGGGGACGGGTTGCTACTGTAGAGGGCGAGGGGGGGAGCGGGGCGGCAGGCAAATTAAAAGCAGACCAGCCCCCCCTTCCTTTTAAACAGTCTGGGCTAAAATGGGGCTTTCAAAGCAGGCCTCTTAACCTCAGAGGAGGGCAGCCAGGCCAGGATGCCTGGCCGATGAGATCAGAGGGGGGGACGCCTAGCCAGGGAGGCCCCCTCCTCCCTCCCCACCCACCCATTCGCCTCCCCACCCTTCCCCACATTCCCGGGGAAGCTGGGAACAGGCTGCTCATTGTGCCAGCACAGCTGAGCGGCTGGCTTGGAGCAGCCTCGAAATCTAGGTCCACCGTCCGCCCCCCAAATCAAAGAATTGCAAGTAAAATCTCAGAGGGTGCTTTTGTTGCAGGAATTTATGTATAGGTTGGGGAGGTTTGCCCCTCCAGCAGATATCATGCACATGCAGCCCACTACCAAAATCAGCACCATCGCTTTTGTGATTTTTGCGATTTGTCCCCACAAAACACTTCATCGCGGTTTCTTCCTATCTATTCAAAGGGCCTCTGCTGCACGATACCAAATGTAAGAATTCACTGATAAATGTATCTATGTACTGGCTCACTGGGAAAACTTCAGAAATTCATATAGACATGTGAGCTCAGCTCCTCAGCAGCCCCTCTGCCTGAGTGATAATCCCTGGCCTCCTGATACCTGAGTGCCAGACAGGTAGCCATTCCAGAACTAACAAACCCAGATGAAGACAAAAGGGTGTGATGAACTTGGCTGGGAAACAGGGAAATGTAAATATCATTTTTTGTTACACTTGATGGGTGTTTGGTGGAGGGCAAGGGGAACCATGGGGCAGGATGCTCAGATTACGGCCACCAGACCTCCCCTTTCATGATGTAACCGTGATGTATGAGTGATGTAGTTTGGGGGGTGTAACATGGGGATTATCAGCTAATAAAAATTTGGGTTCTCTTTTGTTCGGGGCTTCCATCTTGTTCCACATTGTGGCAGGTGGGAGTCCTGTCGCGACCGTCTTCAATAAAGACCAAGCCGACTGGCTGCTGTTTTGCTCTGGTATTCCTGCCTGGTGTCCTTGTTTTTTGTCCAAGGGAGCCCTCAGATTTCTCCGTTAACACTTTCAAAGAAGGGCAAGGCAGTTTTTGCATCCCACCCGAGATACCAAGCAAGCTAGAGTTTTGCACAAACCGGACTTGACCCCCCCCCCCTTTCTCTGCTCGCTTCCTCTTGGGGGGGAAAAGGTGTTTTGAAATTTCGTTTTGCAAGGCGCTTGAAACGGAGGGAGCTGTCGCAACCGCAGGCCCTGTTTTTCAGGGACAGCCCTGGATTTGCAGAAATACGTCCCGCTTTTCCTTAGGACGTCTCACGTTTTCACCCGAGAAATGTTGGCGGGTACAGCCAGTGCTTTTTTCCTAAAAAATAATAATAATAAATGTTTAGGGGTACTCTCACTTTGACTCGAGAAAATCACCATTTTATAGTTCAAATAGGGGGAAATAAATACGGTTGAATGGACAAAAGTACAAAGATTTTTAGGGGTGTGCGTATCCCCAGAAAAAAGTACTGGGTACAGTTATGTGACCCCCAAATAAGGAGATAAATAGTTATATAAATTTTGGAAGTTGCCTGAAGGCAGCCCTGTATAGGGAAGTTTTTTTAAAGTTTAGTGTTTTATTATGTTTTTAGATATGTTTGAAGCCACCCAGAGTGACTGGGGCAACCCAGTCAGATGGGCAGGATATAAATAATAATAAAATTATTACTATTATTATTATTTATATTTAGAACGTCCCTATTTTCATCAAACAGGGGACGCGGGTGGCGCTGTGGTCTAAACCACTGAGCCTCTTAGGACTTGCCAATCAGAAGGTTGGTGGTTCGAATCCCCGTGACGGGGTGAGCTCCCGTTGCTCAGTCCCTGCTCCTGCCAACCTAGCAATTCGAAAGCACACAAAAGTGCAAGTAGATAAATAGGTACCGCTCCGGCGGGAAGGTAAACGGCGTTTCCGCGCGCTGCTCTGGTTCGCAAGAAGCAGCTTAGTCCTGCTGGCTACATGACCCGGAAGCTGTACGCCGGCTCCCTCGGCCAATAAAGCGAGATGAGCGCCGCAACCCCAGAGTCGGCCACGACTGGACCTAATGGTCAGGGGTCCCTTTATTTTCATCAAAGAAATCTTGGAGGGTATGCAAAGGCAATCAAAAGTTTATCAGTTCTCAGGACCATTAATGAACTACAGTTCCCAGAATTCTCTGGGGGGGAGCTGTGAGTATGATACATTTAAATTAAATGAGGGTATGGGTGCTTTTCAAAGTACATCTCTGTTTTTATGAGGCTGTGTTAAGGTTCTTCACACACACACACAAAAGTTGTATTTTTTATATACAACTAAGAGTTTTCAAAAGATTAAGCCGTTGAGAAATGCTTTTAAATAAAAGAAATATAACTTTATATAACTTTTTGAAAGGTTTGAAAGAGGCACACAGGTGAAGATACAAAGTCCGAATGGTGAATATCAGTCTTGTTCTGGTTATCAGGTCTAGTTCCACACTGACCAGGTTTGTGACAAAGTTTGCCTCGAGAACGATGTATAATCCCAGATCATATAAAAAGAGTCTGGAGGTTCTGGTCTTCATTGAAATCGCAGATCACCCGTCTTCTCACGAGCCCTGCATGAGGATTCTCTTAGTTTTAAATTAATTTATTGAAGCATTGATATTTTTTAAAAAGGTGCCCGTTTGCGCACACAGAGGATTCATCTGCAAATGAATGAAAATTGCGTCAAACAGCCCGATTCAACTTTTCGTACGTTCCAAAACAATATTGCAGGATCTCCTCTTCCCAGACGGGTATAAATTCTGCTTTGCAGAAAAAAGTAAAGAATATGATTGGAGGGTGATCGGAGAAGAGGGGCTTTAAAGTCACACCAAGGGAGGGTTCTGTGCCTCTGAGGATACACAGAGTGCCTTTCCCTCTGATTTGGAAGAGACCTTCAGGGTCATCTAGTCCAACCCCAATTTTTCACGCAAGTCCGGACTCGAACCCACAACCTTGAGAGTCTCACGCTTTCGCTCAGGATTAGGCAGACAGGAAAAGCAGAGATTCCCCCCTTTTCTTAAGAGAGAAGCTCGCCTTCTGTAAAGCCTTGTGGGGGGAAAAAGACTGTCGCTTCACTTCTGAGATGTGCATTAAAAAGAAAAAAAAATCAGCATTTTTGGGCCCCCAGATGGCTCTTTTCAGAGAAGCTGGGGAGGTTTTGCAGCTGCCGCTGTTGAAGCACCGTCAACCGGCGTCACCTGCCCTTCGCGTTACCTCCTCCTCGCCCCCCCTCTTTGCCCATGCACCACTCGGCTGCCATGTGCCCATTTAGAGCACATGGAACGCAGCCGCTGCTGTCACCGGGGAGCCCACACATTTGGCACACTGACGCAGCTGCTTGGAGGGGGGGGTGGGCTCGGCTCTTTCGCACTCCGTCGTCTCTCTTTGTCTGCACTGCCCCCCCCCCAAATCAGCATCATTCGGGGAAGCAAGGGGGGGCGCCTGGGAGGAGGGGATGAGAACTGCGTGTGGCAGAGAGCAATGCGCCGCTTGGAAACCTGGCCTGGGGAGACGAGAACAGTGATGGCCCTGGCTTGGCAGAAGCCGTCTCTCGGTTTAAATCGGAACATTGAGGACTAGCGTCTTGTGCAGGCACCACGCTCCCTTCTAGGGGAACGGGGGCGATGGATGCGCATTTCAGCTGTGGCGAATTTGGCGGAGGTTTCAAGCAGGCCGTTGGTCCGGGGTGCTTTAGCTGAGAGTCCTGCGTCGCAGAAGGTGGGGCTAGATGGCTGTTGGGGGTCCCTTCAATAATAATAATAATAATAATAATAATAATAATAATTTATTTATACCCCGCCCATCTGGCTGGGCTTCCCCAGCAACTCTGGGCGGCTTCCAAAAAAATATTAAAATTCTATAATACATCAAATATTAAAAGCTTCCATAAACAGGGCTGCCTTCAGATGTCTTCTAAAAGTCTGGTAGTTGTTGTTCTCTTTGACATCTGGTGCGAGGGCGTTCCACAGGGCGGGCGCCACCACCGAGAAGGCCCTCTGCCTGGTTCCCTGTAACTTGGCTTCTCGCAGCGAGGGAACCGCCAGAAGGCCCTCAGGAGATGGACCCAGGTGTCTGGGCAAAACAATGGGGGTGGAGACGCTCCTTCAGGTCTACTGGGCCGAGGCCGTTTAGGGCTTTAAAGGTCAGCACCAACATTCTGAATTGTGCTCGGAAACGTCCTGGGAGCCAATGTAGGTCTTTCAAGACTGGTGTTATGTGGTCTCGGCGGCCGCTCCCAGTCCCCAGTCTAGCTGCCGCATTCTGGATTAGTTGTGGTTTCCGGGTCACCTTCAAAGGTAGCCCCACGTAGAGCGCATTGCAGTAGTCCAAGTGGGAGATAACCAGAGCATGCACCACTCTGGCAAGACAGTCTGCGGGCAGGGAGGGTCATTCAGGACCAGGGAGTCCTCCACACCTGCCCAACTCCTGTCCCCCAAAAACAGTCCTTCTGTCTTGTCAGGATTCAACCTCAATCCATTAGCCGCCATCCATTCTGATTTGAAAGAGAGGTAGAGCTTCTAGACACACGCACAGACCCGAAAATGAATTTGGAGGTGGGTGCAAAACAAGGCCAGCGAGGGGGTGTGGCCTGAAGGGAGGGGTGTGGCCTGAAGGTAGGAGGAGTGGCCTGAAGAGGAGGTGTGGCCTGAACGGGGGGTGTGGCCTGGAGAGGGGAGTGGAGTGAAGGGAGGAGGTGTGGCCTGAAGAGAGGAGGCGTGGCCTGAATGGAGGGGTGTGGCCTGAAGAGAGGGGTGTGGCCTGAAGGGAGGAGGAGTGGCCTGAAGAGGAAGTGTGGCCTGAACGGAGGGGTGTGGCCTGAATGGAGGAGTGTGGCCTGAAGAGAGGAGGTGTGGCCTGAAGGGAGGGAGTGGCCTGAATGGAGGGTGTGGCCTGAAGAGAGGGGTGTGGCCTGAAGAGAGGGGTGTGGCCTGTCGACCAAGTAAAGGTAAAGGGAGCCCTGACCATTAGGTCCAGTCATGACCGACTCTGGGGTTGCGGCGCTCATCTCGCTTTAGTGGCCGAGGGAGCCGGAGTACAACTTCCGGGTCATGTGGCCAGCAGGACTAAGCCGCTTCTGGAGAACCAGAGCAGCGCACGGAAACACCGTTTACCTTCCCGCCGGAGCGGTGCCTATTTATCTACTTGCACTTTGACGTGCTTTCGAACTGCTAGGTTGGCAGGAGCAGGGACCGAGCGACGGGAGCTCACCCCGTTGCGGGGATTCGAACCGGCGACCTTCTGATCGGCAAGTCCTAGGCTCTGTGGTTTAACCCACAGCGCCACCAAGTAGAAAGGACCACATTTGGCCCTGACATTCTCCACGGGGCCTCTGCTGAAAAACTTGAGAGCCCTTTAGCGCTTTAGAAGCCCCCTGAATCCCAAATTCTGGAAATCGCAGGAGGGGGAGCATTGCTTTTGCGCTCAGACTTCCCCAAAGAGACATCTGGTTGGCTGCTGTCAGAAGAAGATGCTGGACCGGATACAGCTAGGCTCTTCTGTTCTGATGGAACCTCCAGGCCCAGGCACAGTCTACCACCATTTCTAGGCTTTGAGGGGAATTTGGCCCCTGGGAGAACTGGGCAGGTTGTGGGCCTCACCCCACAGCCAGAATCTTCTTCAGAGGGGGTGGTTCACCAAGCAGAAATCCTCTGCCCACCCGCAGCTGGTGTTCGCCAGGACTTCTCCACCCCATAGCGCTGTGGTGTGGGGCCAGGCCAAGCCGCCCCCCAACCAGCTCCACGCCAACAACCGCCTTTGGCTCAAATCCCACCTAAACTGCCCCACCTTTATCGTCTCCTTGCTAAACCCGTCCTGTTTGGAAGATGTGTTGGCACAGATCCCAGGCAAGACCTTTGGGCGCATGTTGGGCGTTGCGCCGCCAAACCGGCAGGCTCATAGCCCTGCCCCACGTCGACCCCACACCCTGCAACGCCCTTGACTCTCTAACCAGAGTTTTGTTTAGTCAGGCAAACTGGGGGGGGGGAGGAAGAGGAGGAGGTCCTGGCTCTCAAGAGAGAGATATATATAGCTGCGACCCACAGGTAACAGTGCGTCATGCGCCGGGTTGACGCAGCTGGCAACGCAAGCCTGAGCTGGGTGTGTGTATGTTTGTGCGCCGTTCCCTCTGAGAGCTGTCTCTCCCTTTCCCCCTTGACACCGAAACCCAGGAACGGCGTCCCTAGGCTGGATCTCTTCACCAAAGGCCTTTATTCTGCTATCCTCCCTTCCTGTGCCCCAGAATTAGGGTTGCCAACTCTCTCCTCCTGGCTCTGCTCCTCTGCTTGAGCCGTCTCTCTCCAGGGAGCCTGACAAATTCGATCTCTTTCCCCAAAAAGGCTTTGTTCTGCTTCTCTCCCTTCCTGTGACCCAGATTTAGGGTTGCCAACTCTCTCCTCCTGGCTCTGCTCCTCTGCCCCTTTTTCTCTGCTTGAGCCGTCTCTCTCCTGTGAGCCTGACTGGCACCCCCAGATTTGATCTCTTTCCCCAAAAAGGCTTTATTCTGCATCTCTCCCTTCCTGTGACCCAGATTTAGGGTTGCCAACTTTCCCCTCCTGGCCCTGCTCCTCCGCCATTTTCTACTTGCCGCCGTCTCTCCCCCCCCCCCATGACCAAGACTCAGGAATTGCAGCCCCAGATCTCTTCCCCCAAAAGACTGCATTCTGTTTTTCTCCTTCCCCTCCCTCCCACGACCTAGATTTAGGGTTGCCAACTTCCTCACCTGTAGAAAAACAACCTACAAATGCTAAGCAATCGATAGATCTGATTGGCTGGGAACCCTACCCAGACCACCTCAAGGTCCTCCCAAGCCAATCTGATAGTTGTGATACGGTTGCCAACCTTCCCACCCACTACCGCTCCTCCGCCTTTCGTGTCGGCGCTATCTGTGGGTGCGAAAGGGAGGCCTTGCTCACCTCTGTACCCGGGGCGGCATCACCTGCTGGCTGCTGCTGCAGCAGCTAGGCCCACCCGCTAAAGGCACAGGAGCACACCTGGCTAGGGTTTTTCTGGTCAGTTGGCAACCCGACCAAAAATAAAATAAAATACAGAGATCTGGGTACCCTATTCCTGGAAGAGTTCTACTCCCACAGTTCGGGAAGCCTTGCTTAACCTGTGTAGAAATCTTTTAAGGGGTTGCAATGTGGTGTTTGGATGTTCTTGACTGCTTTTGTACATTGTGTAATTTTCCACTCTGTCCTCCCCGGTCTGTCTCAACACAATGTTCTTCCTGTGCTGTGCGGCAATTGTGTGTCTGTGCGCGCACACGCTTTTAGGGAGGTGGTGGGATCGCTGTTGCTCACGACACCCTCGGGCCCGGGGTACAGGATGTCCTCAATTGGGGCCCCACCCATCCCTACCGGGAAATCGAGCTTCTCTCCAGCCCTGTCCAGACAGACGCTGGCAACTTGGGAGCAGGCAAAGCTCAGGGCTTGGAGCGTGGCCCACCACATGTTGCGGGACTTCCCAGGCCCATTGGGCCTGCTGGCTGCTGTTGTTTTGCCACATCTGGACGGCACCATCCCTGGAAGAGGAAGATGCCCCAGAGAGGCCCATAATATGACCTGAACAGATTGGAGAACAGGGCCCAAACTAAAAAAAATATGAATTTCAGCAGGGACCAATGTCAGGTTCTGCACTTAGGTAAAGGTAAAGGGACCCCTGACCATTAGGTCCAGTCGTGGCCGACTCTGGGGTTGCGGCGCTCATCTCGCTTCATTGGCCGAGGGAGCCGGCGTCCAGCTTCCGGGTCATGTGGCCAGCAGGACTAAGCTGCTTCTGGCGAACCAGAGCAGCGCATGGAAACGCCGTTTACCTTCCCGCTGGAGCGGTACCTATTTATCTGCTTGCACTTTGACATGCTTTTGAACTGCTAGGTGGGCAGGAGCAGGGACCAAGCAACGGGAGCTCAGCCTGTCATTGCGGGGATTCGAACCGCCGACCTTCTGATCGGCAAGACCTAGGCCCTGTGGTAGGAAGAGTTGCACGGTTGTAAGATGGAGTGGGAACACGTGGCTTACTAGCAATATGTGTGAAAAGGATCCAGGACAGGGGTCAGCAAACTTTTTCAGCAGGGGGCCGGTCCCCTGTCCCTCAGACCTTGTGGGGGGGCGGGCTGTATTTTTTTGGGGGGGGGAAATGAAGGCATTCCTATGCCCCACAAATAACCCAGAGATGCATTTTAAATGAAAGGACACATTCTACTCATGTGAAAACACGCTGATTCCCAGACCGTCCGCGGGCCGGATTGAGAAGGCGATTGGGCCGGATCCGGCCCCCGGGCCTTAGTTTGCCTACCCGTGATCTAGGGGTCTCGGTGGACCACAAGCTAAACATGAGCCCACAGTGTGATGGAGCAGCAAAAAAACCGAATGCTATTCTAAGCGGCATCAACAGAAGTCTTTAGACTTAAAGGGAAGTCATAGTCCCAATCTATTCTGCCTTGTTCAGACCACAGCTGGAGTCCTGTGTCCAGTTCTGGGCACCACAATTTGGCGCCAAATCATTAATATGCAAGTTAAAAACCGCGGGAGCCAGAAGGCAACCTCGCCGTGACGTTTTAAAAGCTTTCGCCGTACCAAACCAACTCTGACCCTCATCTCTGCATTGCTATCACCGTTCTTGGGTCAATAAGCCGCCAATGTTAGCAATTTGAAATTCCTCCCACAGCCTATTTCAGTCAACGGAGTCGAAAGATCCATACAAGCTACATAGAGATTGTTCTTAATTTTCTTGGTATATTGTTGTTTAGTCGTTGAGTCGTTTCTGACTCTTCGTGATCCGCTGGACCAGAGCACGCCAGGCACTCCTGTCTTCCACTGCCTCCCGCAGTTTGGTCAAACTCATGCTGGTAGCTTCGAGAACACTGTCCCACCATCTCGTCCTCTGTCGTCCCCTTCTCCTTGTGCCCTCCATCTTTCCCAGCATCAGGGTCTTTTCCAGGGAGTCTTCTCTTCTCAGGAGGTGGCCAAAGTCTTGGAGCCTCAGCTTCACGATCTGTCCTTCCAGTGAGCACTCAGGGCTGATTTCCTTCAGAATGGAGAGGTTTGATCTTCTTGCAGTCCATGGGACTCTCAAGAGTCTCCTCCAGCACCAGAATTCAAAAGCATCCATTGTTCGGCGATCAGCCTTCTTGATGGTCCAGCTCTCACTTCCATACATCACTACTGGGAAAACCATAGCTTGAACTATATGTCTTATAATATGGTTCAGAATGAAACATGGATCAGTGGTACTGTGAACCCTGCTTGTTCTCGGTTGATAGAGCAGGTAGACTCTTAATCTCAGGGCTGTTGGTTGCACGAAACCTCCATCACACGGGGTTGGACTAGATGACCCCGTGGTCCCTTTTGACTCTGCAATTCTAGGATTCAACCGGTTGAGTGGTTTTTGAAAGAAAGATCTCCATTGGCTCCCAGGACATTTCTGAGCACAATTCAAAAGTGTTGGTGCTGACCTTGAAAGCCCTAAACGGCCGCGGCCCAGTATACCTGAAGGAGCGTCTCCACCCCGGACACCGGGGTCCATCTCCCGAGAGCCTTCTGGCAGTTCCCTCCCTGCAAGAAGCGAGGTTGCAGGGAACCAGGCGAGGGCCTTCTTGGTGGTGGCGCCCGCCCTGTGGAACGCCCTCCCACCAGATGTCAAGGAAATAATCGCTTCTCGGCCTTTTGGCTAAGATCAAGTGTAGTATCTGTTCTTATCAGATGTCAAGGAAATAAACAAAAGCCTGGAACGGAGTGATCCGTTTTGCATTGCTTTCTATGGGAAAGCAGCGCGCCTTGGTTTTGGAACGCTTTGGTTTTGGAACGGATTAAGTTTGAGAGCCAAGGTACCACTGTAGAGACTATAATGTGGTCGATATCAGTTCCTCCATATTCGTACAAATAAGTATACCGGCGCTTAGAAATGACTACCAGACTCCTATGAAGGATATAAAAATGATATAGGGATACAGATTCCAAATACTTCAGGCCTCCTGCGTTATATTAATTGTCCAGAGAACAACGAGAAGTTAGGAAAATATCTTCCAAGTCGAAGCCCAATTGTTTGCTCCCATTTAGGTATTAAAATCCCCACCAAAGGAGGGGAAAAAATGTAGATCTGATTAAATCTTGGTGGTCTGTGACAGACTAGGGGGAAGGTAGATGTTTAGACAGAAAAGAAAGATTGCTAATTCAGTTGATTTGCACTGACAAAAGATAATTATTTTGGCCGGACCAAGCGCTCTCTCTACCAACTTTCTTCTTATATTTTGGAATAATTTTATGCAAAATTTAGGCATACAAAATACATGCCTGCTTACACACAATATGCATACAAAATACATACAATACAATAATAATAATAATAATAATCTTTATTTCAAGAGAAAATGGGCGCCGTGACTCATGAAACATTAAGCTTTCGCATCCCCTTTCTCAGCGATTCCTCGTTAACGACGAAGCCAAGGGCAAGTTGCACTCTGTGTATGCTCAGAGGAACCCTTGCCTGACTTAGGACTTCCGTGAATTCATCGGTGCAGATTCTTGGTAGCGGTACAGGCTCAAATTAAGCCCTCGTTCACCTATACTCCTCTTTACAAAGCGCACACTTTCTGCTCAAAGAACGTAAGAATAAATTAGAAACGCACGCAAAAGCAAGAGATCGTTTGAGCACGTGCAGAGTGCCTGGTCGTCGTCCCCCAACACACCTTTTCCCAGCTTGTTCTTGTGGGGTTAAGAGTCCAGCCACGCATCAAATCTGTCAGTGGGAGAAATACGGGAAATCAAATTGCGGGAGCAGACACATACAATTCCAGGCTGTAGGCTGCAATTCACCAGGGAGACTCCTCGGAGGCAAAATTTGTTCTTGGTCTCTGGAGTATCGCAGGCTGCCTATTCCACAAGCCGCAGAGGGACAGCCCAGAGAGGAATAATTCGCCCACCCAGCAAAAACTAAAAAGAAACCCTCTCCGCTTCGCTTTCTGGCAGCAAAGATGAGCTGGCTGGGTTGGGGGACGTATAAAAAGGGTTTCACGTCCCAAATGGAGCCTTGGGGACCCAGCAGAATGTGGCGAGGTGGAGGTTCAACCGGGATAGCGTAACGCTCTACCTGTTGGATCGCCTGCCTGTCGCAAACAAAAAACTGCTGCTGGCCTAAAAGAGCCTGGAGCTCTGCATAGGAGAAGGAGGAAGGTTTGCAAGAAACCGTGGACCCCTCCCCAGCCCCCAACCCAGCCTTTTTCATTTTCTTTCCCCCCCCAACAGAGTAAGAGAATGGCTTCCATGGCAACGGGCCTCTAGGGGGCCTCTGGAGTGTGAATGAATGGATTGCAGATGAATGAATGTTATTTTATTCTGCTAAACTGCCCCCCACCTTTCCACGAAGAGCAAAACTGGCAGCATTAAAAATATTATTAATAATAATCAAGATTAAACAGCCTTTTTTATTAAAAAAAAATCAGCGTTTTGCTTGTCACTCGCTTTGCTCCTCTACCCTGAAGAGCAGGCAGGCATCCAACCAACCGGTAAAGTTCCCACACGCACCCCTAAAAAGGCAGCAATATCAGTTGCAGATTTATTTGTTGACTTCAGCCCAGACAAGCAGGCAGGCATCCAAACGGTAAAGCTGTGAGATCAGTGGCAAATGGGTTTATTTTATTTACGGATACATAATTCACACTTTCATTAAGATGAGAATACAGGGTGCAGCATATAAGGATGGAATCAACAAAAGAAACATAAATACATTAATAAATACTGATGTAGAGGGAGAAATCTGCTCCCGTTTTTTATTCCTGATCATATGCCATCCTGCTTGGCTAGAGAGTCATCGACAGTCCGATCCGGTGATCTACACCAGAATTTCCCTCTGACTTTAGCGGCCAGGAAGATTGGGTTTCCTTGAGCGGGCCAAGAGGAAAACGGAGACTGGATCGCAACCGGAATGGAATGGAAGAATGAAACCATCTCATGCCATAATAATAGTAATTTAAAAATTATTTATTTATTTATTTATTATCATCAAAAGGTCTCAGGGTGTTTAACAGATTCATAATTACAATTATAACATTAAAAGGAAGCTACAACTTGCATAATGAGTCAGTTAAACCGCCTCTCTGGCCCTAACATTGGGTGATAATATGGTAGTACCTTAGTTCTCAAACTTAATCCGTTCCGGATGTCCGTTCCAGAACCAAAGCGTTCCAAAACCAAGGCGCGCTTTCCCATAGAAAGCAATGCAAGACGGATTAATCTGTTCCAGACTTTTAAAAACAACCCCTAAAACAGCAATATGACATGAATTTTGCTATCTAACGAGACCATTGATCCATAAAATGAAAGCAATAAAACAATGGACTGCAGTCGCACAATCAATCAATCCATCAGTAGCCGGACTGGGTTCCGCACAGTCGCAAAAACGAAATGAAAAAGAGCCGCATAAACGAAAACGCAAAATAAATAGCAAAAACAGACAGACCTCAACTTCCAAAAAAAGTTCGCCATAAGTTGTTTGAGTACCAAGGCGTTTGGGAACCAAGGTACCACTGTGTTTTGTGGTTTTATATCTTGACTTTAGGGACGTGGGTGGCGCTGTGGGTTAAACCACAGAGCCTAGGACTTGCCGATCAGAAGGTCAGCGGTTCGAATCCCCGTGACGGGGTGAGCTCCCGTTGCTCGGTCCCTGCTCCTGCCAACCTAGCAGTTTGAAAGCACGTCAAAGTGCAAGTAGATCAATAGGTACCACTCCTGCAGGAAGGTAAACGGCATTTCCGTGCGCTGCTCTGGTTCGCCAGAAGCGGCTTAGTCCTGCTGGTTACATGACCCAGAAGCTGTATGCCGGCTCCCTCGGCCAATAAAGCGAGATGAGCGCCGCAACCCCAGAGTCGTCCATGACTGGACCTAATGGTCAGGGGTCCCTTTACCTTTTTACCCATCTCCTACAGGCATTGCAGACATTCCTTCGCTGTGCTTAAAGAGGCTTTTGGGGGCCAGCCATTCGAAAAACAGGGGAAAAAACCTGAATCCATCTGGTGGGCGAGCTATGCCACCCCCAGGCAGCTGGCGGCCGGCCCCAGCTGCCCCACAGGCCAAACCCCAAAGAGAGGGTGGTGGTTTTAATTGCAGAGCAAGCTGGGCGGAGAGGATTTCTGCCGAAAACGCAAAAAACGCCCTCCTCTGGCTCCCCTGCCAATCCTGGGGTTTTCAGGAATTCAGAGTTGAGCCGCATTTTTTCATTCCTCGGGGCTTCAGACACACCCCACCTCCTTCCCAACAAGACAGAAGTGCTGTTTTGGGGGGACAGGGGGCGGGCAGGTGTGGGGGACTCCCTGGCCCTGAGTGGGGTCACTGTGCCCCCGAAGGACCAGGTGCGCAGCCTGGTAGTCATTTTGGACTCACAGCTGTCCATGGAGGCGCAGGTCAGTTCTGTGTCCAGGGCAGCTCCATCTGGTACGCAGGATGAAACCCTCCCTGCCCGCAAACTGTCTGGCCAGAGTGGTGCATGCTCTGGTTATCTCCCGCTTGGACTACTGCCATGTGCTCTCCGTGGGGCCCCCTTTGACGGTGACCCGGAAACTGCAACTAATCCAGAATGCGGCAGCCAGACTGGTGATTGGGAGCGGCCGCCAAGACCATATAACACCGGTCCTAAAAGATCTACATTGGCTCCCAGGACGTTTCTGAGCATAATTCAAAGTCTTGGTGCTGACCTTGAAAGTCCTAAATGGCCCCGTATCCCTGAAGTAGCATCTCCACCCCCATCCTTCAGCCCGGACACTGAGGTCCAGCTCCGAGGGCCTTCTGGCGGTTCCCTCCCTGCAAGAAGCGAGGTTACAGGGAACCAGGCAGAGGGCCTTCTCAGTGGTGGCGCCCACCCTGTGGAATGCCCTCCCATCAGATGTCAAGATATAATAATAATAATAATAATAATAATAATAATAATAACAACAATAATTTATTTATACCCCACCCATCTGGCTGGGCTTCCCCAGCCACTCTGGGCGGCTTCCAAAAAAACATTAAAATACTGTAATACATCAAACGTTAAAAGCTTCCCTAAACAGACTTTTCGGACTTTTAGAAGACATCTGAACGGCAGCGGGCTCCCCTCCTTCGGAGACTTTTGAACAGGGCTTGTGGTCCACGTGCATCGCAGGGGGTTGGAGTCGATGACCTTCGGGGTTCCCTTTCCAGGTCCACGATTCTGTGACAACCAGGGTCGGGAATCAGTGAGCCGCCCGGCTGCCATCTCGACCTCTGTGCATGTGCAGAGTGCCAGCGCTGGTGCGCTGGGCTGGCTTTTATTCTGCCTTGTCCCGGCTTGCCCCAAAATATTATTTCTCTTTCTTCTCCCATGTCTTTTGCGTAGGTGTGACTCACAGGCCCACAGCCCTGGTGACTCAACGGTGGAAATGGCCCTCAGCCACGTGGAGCCAGAGACCTCGGCTGACCCCGCTGGGGAGAACAACCCCACGCCGCCCCCTCTGCAGGGACGGTTTATTTTTTGGCAGGCCCTGGCCCTGTTTCTCCCCAACACCCAAAAATAAAAAATATGCACGTCTAAGGAGCGTCTGCTGAGCACGTGCAGAGACGGCGTCCTCTGAACATGTGCAGAGTGCCCACGCAGAGCCGACAGGATTAACTCCTCTAGGTTCCAGGAGAACGATAAAAGGGATTTAATAACTGGGGGGAAATAGGAATAAGACCCACATATCCAGAGAATAAGTGTCGTTCTGCTTCAGGGGGGAGGGCGGGGAGTTGAGAACTCTGCGCGTCCTCAGAGGTCTGTTTGCTCAGCCCAAATTCAGCCCAGGACGACCTGGCTATTGTCCAGTCCCTGTCTCAGAAGTGTTTTTCTATGCCCCGGTAATTCTAAAGGTAGAGTTGAGGCTCTTGTGATGTTCTCGCGTCCTCTGAGCATGGCTAGAGCGCCTTCCTTTCGCAACAAGCTCTGGCCTGTGGGTCTGAGCCATGGTCTAGTCAACTGAGCAGGGCTCTCATAGAATCGCAGGTCATCTATTCCCACCCCCTGCAAGGCAGGAACCTCAACTAAATCTCCGTAAAATGGACGTTCTGTTTGCGCGCCTGGGAGTCCGGGACCGTCCCTGGCAGTGCCTCTGAGCATAAGCAGACAGCCCTGTGCCTAACACATCCTGACGCAACAGCGGCTGAGCATTCCTTCATTTCCAAGGCAAGGTTTATCATTTCGGCTCCAGGGCACTGTAAGGATAAAGAGCGCCTCTGACCATATGCAGAGTCCACAGCTCCCACGCATCTGCGACGATTATGGATGTCTTTGCAAATGGTTTTGTGGTGGGGTGGCAGAGACGGCTGACTCCCTCCCCTCCAGGTGCCCCCAATCCCCAAACCTCTGGGCAGGATTGAACGGAGGTGGGATCTGGGCCCTAAGCACTCTGCGTGTGCTCAGGGGTACTCTTTCCTTTTGCGTCATTATCATCATTACCGGGACTCGGCTGCAAATGTAACATTTTAAGTGAATTATATAAACGGGACAGTAGATGGCGGTGACGAGCTAATGGCGAATTCAATGTACAGTATTTTTTTCCTCCAAAATTTGTGTTTCTTTGAAAAGCATTTTCACGGCATGAGATTTAGAGTCTCATGCTTTGCTGACTGAACTTGGGACTTTCAGGGTTGCGGGTTCCGATCCCACATTGAGCCACAGATTCCTGCATTGCAGGGGGTTGGACTAGATGACCCACGGGTGTCTCTTTCGCCCTCTACAATTCTGTGGTGCTGGAACACATCGCTGCCTCCGACTGCAGGGTCAGAGCCTAGCCCATGGCAGCCAGTAGCCCCATCTCATTTGATGGCGCAAATTCCTGCGGGAGGGAGTTTCGCAGGTTAACGGCGTGCTGTCTTAAGAAGCTCTTCCTTTCCTCTATCCGATATGCAGCTCCGTCGGAGGCGCACGGGTTTTGGCGTTGAAAGAGACCCTGCCTGCCGCCTGCAGGAGACGAGAGCCCATGCGCCAGATCCATGCGCACAGACACATGCTGTCTCTCCCCAGCGTCATCAGTGCTGCTTGCGTGCGGCCTTTTCTGTGATGCAGAGCTTTGAGGCGGTGGGGGGAGGGAAGGGGATGTGCTGGGGGCTCCCGTTTCTCAACAGGCGAGGGGAAGGGCTTTGCTGGGAATTTCAGCGGCCTCCCTCGCCTCTGCGCATGGCGCACGCTGACTCATGCAGCCCAGCGGCGCCACCTCTCTCTCCCTTCCTCCGCTCTGCTCGCTTGCCAAGTCTGAGAGGCCTCTTGTCATCCGCCCAAGACCGCCTCCCTCGCTCGCTCGATCCTGCATGTGCAGATCAAACGAGGCCGGCCGTGGGAGGCTGCAACAGGAACCCCCAAATTTAGGATCCTCTGTCTCTCCAAAGTTCTGCTGCTGCTGGGTTTTTGCAGTGAAGCCCCTGCGTTTTGCCCGCAAACAGAGCGATCGATGCATCGAACAATGGGGTTCCATGCTTCGCATTCACTAGTGTTGCAGGGAATTTTTATAGGTTGCAGATATCACACACATGCGGCCCACTGAGACATGCGGAGAAAATATTTGGTCGGTTTGATCGAAAATGGTTTCAGGTCAGTCTTCCTGTGCTGATCTATGTACGTGCTTGGTTGGTACATTTATGAACATTTAATATATATCTAAGACCTTAAGAGCTGGACCATAAAGAAGGCTGATCGCCGAAGAATGGATGCTTTTGAATTCTGGTGCTGGAGGAGACTCTGGAGAGTCCCATGGACTGCAAGAAGATCAAACCTCTCCATTCGGAAGGAAATCAGCCCTGAGTGCTCACTGGAAGGACAGATCCTGAAGCTGAGGCTCCAAGACTTTGGCCACCTCATGAGAAGAAAAGACTCCCTGGAAAAGACCCTGATGGTGGGAAAGATGGAGGGCAGAAGGAGAAGGGGACGACGGAGGACGAGATGGTGGGACAGTGGTCTCGAAGCTACAAACATGAGTCTGACCAAACTGCGGGAGGCAGTGGAAGACAGGAGGGCCTGGTCCATGGGGTCACGAGGAATCGGACACGACTAAACGACTAAACAACAACAACAAGACCTTAAAATTCTTATTACATCTCCAAACCCTTGCCAGGGTTGTTGTTGTTTTTTTGCAGCGTTTTGCAGCGAAAACCCTGTGTTTTGCATGCCTCACAAAGCGAGGATTTGATACAGCATACACGGGGTTCATACTTAACATTAACTATGAAACTCCAAATTTGGGACCCATAGATGCGTAGAATCTTAGTTGGAAATGTTGCAGGAATTTATGTATAGGTTTTGGGAGTGGGTTTGCCCCTCCAGCACATATCACGCACATGTAGTCCACTACCAAAACCAGCTTTTGTGATTTGTCCCCACAAAACACTTCATCACAGTTTCTTCCTATCTATTCAAAGGGCCTTTGCTGCACGATACCAAATGTAAGAATTCACTGATCAATGGATCTATGTACTGGCTCACTGGGGAAACTTCAGAAATTCATATAGACATCATCATCATCATCATCATTTTTTATTTGTATGACGCCTTTCCACAGTTAAAAAACAATGCTCAAGGCGGCTTACAGCATAACAAGATTTACATACCGTATTTTTCGCTCTATAAGACTCACTTTTTCCATCCTAAAAAGTAAGGGGAAATGTGTGTGCGTCTTATGGAGTGAATGCAGGCTGCGCAGCTATCCCAGAAGCCAGAACAGCAAGAGGGATCGCTGCTTTCGCTGTGCAGTGATCCCTCTTGTTGTTCTGAGATTCAGAATATTTTTTTTCTTGTTTTCCTCCTCCAAAAACTAGGTGCGTCTTATGGTCTGGTGCGTCTTATAGAGCGAAAAATACGGTAATTACAAAAGTCATAAACAATAAATAAACCACATCAAAAAAATACACAACCAAATGGGAAACAATTTCCACATAAATCAAAATCTAAAACTAAGAATACACCATTCATATCAGAGTTTAAAATGACATAGGTAAAAAAAAAACCACCCCCCCAAAAAACAGAGTCCTCTCTGCCCAGCAGCAGCAGTGGCAGCAGTCCTTTATAGGACATGTGAGTTCAGCTACTCAGCAGCCCCTCTGCCTGAGTGATAATCCCTGGCCTCCTGATACCTGAGTGCCAGACAGGTAGCCATTCCAGAAATAACAAACCCAGATGAAGACAAAAGGGTGTGATTACTTGGCTGGGAAACAGGGAAATGTAAATATCTTTTTTGTTCTGATCCCAGACGGAAGAACAGCAAAACAGGCTTGAGCTCAGGGGTCAAACTGACCGAGGGTGGATCAAAGGCCAGCTCAAGCAGGTGGGTGGCACCCGCCCAGGTGAGCCTCGCTTGGTGCCGCAAAACCCGCCCACCTGTGGGGAAGGGAGGGCGGATATTGTTCCACTCGATGGGTGTTTGGTGGAGGGCAAGGAGAACCATGGGGCAGGGTCCAGGATGCTCAGATTACGGCCACCAGACCTCCTCTTTCATGATGTAACCATGATGTATGAGCGATATAGTTTGGGGGGATGTAACATGGGGATTAAAGGGAAAGGTAAAGGGACCCCTGACCATTAGGTCCAGTCGTGACCGACTCTGGGGTTGCGGCACTCATCTCGCTATACTGGCCGAGGGAGCCGGCGTACAGCTTCT